CTCTTCCTGCAGCTTCCCATGGACCAGATATCCCCACTGGGCCTGATGAACTCAATCTCTCTGCAGCTTCTAATGGACCATCCTGTTTATCTTCCTGCCAGCCTCTCCGGGGGGCCCGCCCTGGAGATCGTGATGGACCCCTCCCTCCCGTTGATCTTGATGGACCCCTTGAGCGGTCCCGTTCTGAGAATCCCGCTCTTCCCATACCTTGACATGGACTGGATCTCCCCGCAGATGTCTGTGCATCTGCTCGGCCTCCCGTCCCAGACCCACGCACGGTTCCCGATAATGCAACGGGTATCCACACCAATGAACCTGCTTGTCTTTCTCTTCTCCATGAATGTCTGAATCCATTGACTCCTGATGGAGCTGCATGTTGCACCAATCTTGCTGTTGATCCTCCATAGTTGGATGGCGCACAGGGTGGCTCTTCATTTTCGGACCTGTCTGCCATATTTGAGACTGGGAGCCACCACACTATTCGGGTGAGGCCAACCGCAGTTACTTCCACCAAGTCTATACAGATCCCTTACCCTCCCTCATCTGCCGCAGATTAACATCGAAAACGGTAGACGACTGGTACTTTTCAAAGGTGCAAAACCATCTCCATCCTTGTTGAATGTAGTCAACCTGTAGAGTGTCATTCACAGAAGCCCAGGCGTCAGTAGCAGAAATCTCCCAGATGGCCAAACACTTTTTCGAGATCCACACCACATCATGCCAAGTCTTCTGATTGGTCCTGAAGACTGAAACGTCCAGGCCAACAGTACACTGAACATGATTAGAGGCAGCCAGCCACTGGTTCTATGTTCCCAAGCCTTTGGAGAAACCTAAACAGCCACAAAATGTAGAATCGACAGTGCCTTTTTTTTTTTTTTTTTTTTTAATACCGACAGTGCTTTCGTCGTTGCCTCGTTCTTCTTTTTTTTTTTTTCCTTTTCATTTTTTCTTTGTGGCCTTTTCTGCAAGGAAAATGAGCAATGTGAATGACAGAAGCCAAATTGCAGCATTCCATAGAAATCCAAATAACTTTGTGCACGAGCTGAAAGCAGATTGGACCACGAGATACATTAAATAAGCAAGAGCAAAACACTGTTGTCAATTGACAATGAAAGCCTCTTCTTGCCTCCAACACCAATGTCCACAATGTCGCTCTCTCATGTGGCGCTCGACGCCCAGACTACAATCAGACAGCACCTATAGACCTAGACTCCTATGCTACAACAGGTCTTCATGAATTGCGGCAGCCCGCCGACGAATGAAGACTCCGGTGAAGCGGCCTGCTCATCATCACCAGGTAAGCAACCCTTCCACAGTCCCTCGCTCAAAGGTCAACACCCGACCTCCCCAGCTATGGCTGCTGCGCCCTCAGCCTTCTTCCATGCGCCCCGCCAGTGCCCTTCCTCTCCTGACTCGATGCTCCCCGAACAAGCAAGCGCTCCAAGAGCACTGCCTCCAACCAGCCAGCCAGACTGAATGACGTGAGTGAGCCTCACTTCCTCTTTTGCTGGCTGGCTGGGCAAGGCAGCCTCTGCCCCAGTAGCTGCACCCAGGGGCCTTCGACAATGTGCCTGGGGCTGAACTGTAAGTGCCCTTGGCCTCAGCCTCTTCGCTGGGCCCAGCATCTTCAAACGATTGCCCACCAGTTGGTTGAAGATGCTGCGTGCACCAACCAACACATGCGGCCCCTTTCTGCTCACATCAGCCTCAGAATAAGCCTCGTCGAATTTCCTTTTTTTCTTCTTTCTTTTTTTTTATAAGGAAATTCCCCGGCCCCTTCTATTCTGAGGGGCATCATTCCGGTTGCTTATCACCGGCAAGCATGAGTACAATGAAAAAGAAGGAGGAAGAAGAGTGTTGAAGGAGAGCCAGCCCAACCCTTGCGGTTCGAGTCACCTACTCAAGGGGGGGGGCTGCTACGATCCGACTCCCCCCCAAACCGTTGCTTTCCTAGCAGCACCCACAGTCCGTATCACCCTTACTGCGTTCCCATGAAACAGTCCAAAAATCCGACACCGCCAACTCCTGCTAATCCTTCTGTTTCTCACCTACTTTTTTACTTAAAAAAAAAAAAAAAAAAAAAGAGCCTTATGGTTGCGGCTCCTTTTCCATTCTGGGGAGCATCAGTCCGGTTCCTATTCCACCGGCAAGTCAGAAAGGATTACAATGAATACTCACTCACACTCCTCCCCCTTGTGGTGTGGAGGTCCGAAGGACGGCATTGGTTACTTCCCAAAAGAAGGATGTACCACCCTTCACCCCTGCCTAAGTTAGCCTGTTCTACTGCGGATCTGGTCTTATCCAGTATTTGGTGCTAAACCCTAGCTTAATACTTCCTTGTCTGTAGCCTGTCTCTGGTGGTCGTTTCTATACCATAGCCTGATGTGGTTGCTGGGGCTGATCTGAATTCAGGTATCGCTTGAAGAGCGGACTGTTTGGATTTCGGTGAAGGTATTCTTGGTAGGGCGGGTGTTGAGGTTTGGGGGGTGGCTGGGTTGGGGATTTTTGGATAGGCATAGCCTACTAGTTATTGTAATGAGGATGTGGGGAGGGGGTGGGGGTAGCAGGAGATTGTGGTGGTATGGAGACTGTCGCTTGGGGGTGGGGGGGGAAGAAGTGGGAATGCTGCGGGGAGAGGGATCTTTACTGGTTCAAATGTGGATTAGTGGTGAGTGGCTGGTTTGGGCGCGATTGTGTGTGGGATAGGGGAGTTGTAGAGGCACTTCGTGTCTGTGTTATGATTAGCCATTTTTTGTGGATTAGTCTGTCGTTGATAGTTGTGCCAGAGTGTCGTGTTCCGAGACTGTGGGGCGACGGTCGGATTTGTAACTATTTGAGAGTACGAGGGAGTGGGATTTAAGATGGACTAGGGGACCTGTTGCGGCTATGCCCGCAATAAAAAACGAATGTTTGCCAAGAAGTTGATGGAGTCTCTCTCTCTCTCTCTCTCTCTCTCTCTCTCTCTCTCTCTCTCTCTCTC